GCAATGATAGAGCTTGGAATAGCCAGGACAATTTTTAATATAACTCCGACTGGATTCGTCTGAAAGAAGAAAGTCATATACACCTAGGATGCTTCGAGGGTGAGTAAAACACAAGCTAATTTTCATTTTTGGGTGAACTAACCCTTTGAACTGCTATGTTAAACACACCTCTCAATAAAAGGTCGAACAGCTGAAAATCCATATCAGAGCAAAAAACAAGCCCTGAGGTCAAAAGAAAGGCCTTGTAGAGCTCAGAGACAGGATTGTGTCAAGATACTGATCTGGGGAAGAGTTCAGAAAACAATTCTGCTGCATTGAAGTTTCACAGAAGCATGTAGCCTCCATCTTGTGAATATAGGAGTGTGTGTGGTTTCTAAACAAGAACAGAAACACAATTAAAATCAAAATAAGTCATACTAAGATTACACAGCCATGAGTTTTTGAAAGAAAAATATCCATATTTCAAACGTAATAAATACTTTTCTCTCACTTCCGGTATCTATTATACGCGGATCCGTTCCGGCGGAAGGCGTATGACGTATGCGCAGCGCGCGCGCCTATGAGATATGCTAGTCTCGCGAGTTTGTTTAATCCCATGAGTTGGTGTGTATTCAGGTTTAAGTCCCCACTAGTGTAGACTCTACACTGTACTGTACACACACACCTTATAAACATCAAGCAGCTCCAAAGTCTCTCAGTCCTTACTTTAGCAAAGGAAAACCAGTCTCCTCTTGGTTTATATCGAAATCCTCTGAGATTTTTCTTTGCAAATCTTCGGTTTGTACTTATAATTCGTGACCAGCGTTTTGTTTTGTTCTCCGTGTTCATCACTAATCACGCAACGCCGCGCGTCTTACATCATCCGCCGGCACGGCTTCAGTGTATGACAGTCAGCGGAAGTGAGAGAAAAGTGTTTATTACATTTGAAATATGGATATTTTTCTTACAAAAACTCATGGATTCACTACAGAAGGCCTTTATTCATCCCCCGGAGCCGTGTGAAGCATGTTTTATTATGAATGCGCGAGCTTTATTTGACGACTTGTGGACTGTTCAACTGCAACACCCGCTGACTGCAATGATAGAGCTTGGAATAGCCAGGACAATTTTTAATATAACTACGACTGGATTCGTCTGAAAGAAGAAAGTCATATACACCTAGGAT